ATGTTGCCTATTTACAAAAAATGTATTTACCAGAATGAGATTCTCCTGGCAACTTTCAGCCTATTCAACTTTTGTTCCATGGGTGCCAAGTGTTTTTGTATTTTAGAGACAAAGCATTTCTTTTGCAGGGCATTTGAACCATAACCTAATTTAGCATTTAACAGTTTCATAGTTTCTATAAAGTTCACAAGTGACATAAAATAATATAAACAACTAATTTGAGGCATTATGTTTTTAAAGCCATTTATTTTTATAAACAATAGAAATTCACATATAAAACTGAAGTTGAGCTCTGCTTATATTAACAAAGACTGAACCATCATTCCAAAAGTAGATTCTTGGCTTAAATTTGTGATGCTTGATATAATTATACACTCTTAAAATTAAAGGTAATATTATACAACTGCTGAGATCATGTCTTTGGGAACAAGCTTTTTTTAAAACAACTTCCATCATGAAAAATAATTTACATTGACCTGAAAAAAGAGTAAACACCTATTACACCAGGTAAAATGCTATTTATAATCAAAACTCTTATAAAAAAGATGTGGAAAAGTACCTAAAATAGTTTTCTTTTTTTATAAAATTCAGTAATAAAATATTGCTTGCAATAAATAAAAAAAATTGAGATGAATACTGGTGGTTCCATTATTTCTTAATACTTAAAACTGTATTTCACCTGTTATCCCAGGTTATTTACATATGGTTAGAAGTATTAGTTAAATTAAGCTGAAATATTGGTAATCTGTGACAAAGGAAAATATTTATTAGGGTGGAAAAAAAATTTAGAGGGATTTTTTGCATTCACTCAAATATACTACTCAAAGTATAGAGATGGTAATCATATCATGATGTTTGGACAATGTGTATGCATGCACATAACCATGTGGGAGGCTCTTAAACAACCATGTTTTTAAGACTTGGTGTCCCATTGTACCATGAAGCAACGGATTCACACAGTTCAACTAATACTGGAAATGATTATATAAAATGAAAATGCTATCAATCTTTATTTTTGTCTTTAAAAATGCAAATACATATAGCTACCTTGTGTACCCACAAGCTTATTTTCCCCCCAAAATACTGCTCAAATGTGCAAGTTTTTCCCCAAAGTCTAACTCACAGAGAAGCAAAAGTGGAAAATGCAAGTTTGCCATGGCTATATGGATACATTGGATTTCATGGCTGCCCGTCCCATCTGTAAACATGGCAGTTTTGAACAGTTCTTTAACAGTTGTTCAATAGCAATATGACGGACATTAAGCTCAGAAGCCAAGGAGTCTTTTTCTTGTACTTGTTTCGTTAACTCTTCAAACACATCTGAAATCAATAATGATGGCATGTTAGCCTATAACATCAAATAGTTATACTAATTAAGAGTTGCAACAATGTACTTTAATTTATGAGATAGATACCATATTTTTCGGCGTGTAAGACGCACTAGAATATAAGATGCAGCAAGGTTTTGATAATAACTATATAAAAAAGTTTTTGTAGTCTGCAAACTAAAAAAAAGTTTTTGCAGTCTGCAAACCTCCCAAAAACGGCCTGTTTTTCTTCAAAAACAGGCATGAATACCCTTTAGGAAGCTTGTAGAGTGCTCTTGGGGGGTGGAACAAAAATGAGCAAAAACGGCCCGTTTTTCACAAAAATGGGCCTCTTTTTTGTCAAAAAAAAAAAGGGCATGGATAGCCTTTAGGTGGCT